AAAAGTAATGGTTCTGCTGACAACCAACGTTATGCTGATAACTTTTGCCACATGGCCCCCTTTATCTTTCAAACAAACTGGGGCTGACTGAAGTGTGTACACTTAAGACAAACGAAAGAATCTCAAATGAAAGTAAAGCAGGCTCACAGCAAGTTCTCAAGATGCCCCTTGCACTGGCTGGAGATACCATAAAAGTTAACTGTGCTATCAGTGTAGTGGAGTTGATTGTTTAAATTTATTACAGGACCATGAAGTTTTCCAAGTGGAACATTTCCACTGCATTGCACGTCCAGGGCTGCTGATGACTTGTTAAGAATTCTGCAGGTGTGACAGATAGAGGCACCTCGTATTTGAAGATTCCTCTCTCAAGCAAATCTCCTTTTATCTTTGTCCCTCAGGATTTATTCCCTCTGTTACACTCTGACTGTTCCGTCTCCAGAGAGCTCCACAGTGCGGAACGTGGCATTACCTGTTTTTTATGATCTTGGCATGAACTCAGAAGAGTAAGAAAGATTTAAGAGCAGCTGTGTGAGAATGAGACACAGAACAAGGTGCAAGTTTCCTACGTGTTTCAGGAGTCCATTTAATCTGCCTTCTCCTCCAATGTTTGGTTCTCCCAAAAGAGACGACTTCTCCTTTCCTACTCTTCCGGACAGCAGCTGGTTTACCTGCCTTTGGAATCACCTTCTGCAGGAGACTGCTCTCCCTTCTCTGACTGTACTGCACATCAAGAGCAGTCACCAGCCATCCCTGCCTTGAGATTCCCAGGGGAAATCCCACAAACTACTTCTAAAGGGCCTGTGAAAAGTTAATGGAAAAACAGGTCTACCACCTACTGTGGGGCCCACATTGCCACTGGACCTTCTTTTACAGGAGTTTACGGATCCAGAATAAAAGGTTGGAAACTACTGATGCACAAATATGTGCAACTCTTAGGCAAAAGCTTTGGGATTCCCTCCTCCACCCTATAGAGTTACATTGACTAGACTGATTAGGGGTCACAGGCATTTCCCAAAATCTCTGTCTGCCTTCTGGGAGTTAGCTGGACATTCTTCAAATGTGTGTGGAGGTGGGCAGGGGCTGAGCAGGGAAGATGGGGTACAGACACTGCACCTTGACTTGGGGGTAAAGGCCACGAAAGTTTTTCATGCATGTAAAAAACTTTCCATGCTAGATGCCTGTTGCCTGTGGACCAAAATGGACAGCTCAAGCTCACATAAATGGCTTAAATGTTAATAAATTAAGAGGGACCCACCAGTGCATTCATAAAACTGGTTGGAGCTGAGCATGGCAAAAGCAGACATAGTTATGTGCAACCTTGCTAAAGAATTTCCATCACAAATTGAAATGCCTCCTACTAACCAAGGTCCAGAGACTTCCAATTATTTCAGTCTGCAATACATAAAATCACCAAATTCTCATTTGCTTGCTTGCTACCAGAGGTCCTGATTCAGTTATCTTCACACGTACACTGCCTGGACTTTTATCTTTACATTAATAAACAAATATTTCAAGACTATTTACAGGAGGTCAAATGCCTTTTTCCTTACAGGTAATTTGAAGAAAGAAAAACAAACAATCAAAGAGCCAGCACAGGACACAGCTCCTGCAGAGATCTTAATTAAAAAAAACAAGCTAACAAACCACCACCAAATAAACAAAAAAATAAAAAGAAAATATTGTTAAGACCTACTGTACCTTTTAGGGGTTTTAGTCTACCTCTTTCCTGCAGACAACCCAGGTCTTCCTTCTCCAGCAGCCAGCCTAAACAGGTCCAGAATTTTTTGCTTCAGTTACATCCCTTAATAATTAAAGATGTTAGTTACTCCCTGTAGGATATAGTCACCCCTGAACCACCCTTCTTTACCTATTTCTAGTTCCCTGTATTTCAAATTGCAATTTAGACCAATACTATGTTATTAAGAAACAGTGCTCCCTCACCCCTGAAGGATGTCTGAATGGGGATAAATTTATCTTCATTATGACCATTCAAATATTGTCAATATCACATTTTTCCGGCCTAAAATTCAGTCATTGAGGAATTCACCTTTACTACCGTACATTATTGCTTTCCATCCACAGCAAGGGATACTTAGGTTGAAAAGCTCACCCTGATTATTAATCCTTTCAAGAGAGTGAGAAAGGCTTCTTTATCTCATCTCATAATTTCTTTCCTTCCCAGCGAAAACAAACCCATCACCCACAATCTGGCTTCAAACACATTACCTATTTTGCTATAGGCTGTTCTCTATGGTTTAAACAACCTCAAGGTAATAAGGCTATTTAAAACGAGCTGCTTTTTCCACACAACCCCCTTCATCATTAACTCACATTCAGCATATTCGCATTGTGCAGCGAGGAAGAGCACAACGTTCCCCGAGCCAACACAGACCGCAGCTGGGTCAGCCCCCAAAAGCAACGTAACCGCACGATGATATAACCGTTTGGCAACATAAACTCCAGTGTTTGCTGAGCATCTTTCCACACAGGCTGGGCATTAGAAGAAGGTTGAGACACACGGCTGAGTTGCCAGATAACAAGCTGTGACTAACGGACTGTGGTAACCAACATTTGCATTAAACTTGTTCCTTGCAAATATAAGGTAAATTTTAGGTTAAGTATATTTCCCTGCAGTTTATGCTAATGTCACTTTGCGTTTGTAGAGGGCTAAAAGCACACAGCGAGTTGCTGTGGGTATGCTGATACATGCACCTGACCATTTAGTAGCATTTTTCATACTATGAAAACACATTTAAACCTACCCCAAAACCTTAACCAACCCCACTGCTTATCCAACACCTGCTTTTCTCCATGCACACATCCCTCCTATGGGCTTACTTCTGGCTTTTTAATCCACTTCATGCTACTCTTAAGCCTTGAACCACCTCCTGCACTTCACATCTCAGTCATATGCCGTTTCTTCTGCCTCTCCGTGCCTTTCACCCTGGCTGTCACTGTCAGTGCCTGCACTAGCCCTTCAGTAACTCAGGAGGGGACCTAACGCTATGCTCGTTTCCATGTAAAATTAACAGAATGCTAAATACTAATGAATATCTCCATCGTGTCCTCAGGGAGTGATTCCCTCTGGCTGTCTGCTGTCAGGAAAACCATGAACACTTTGCTGACTTGTAGTTTCTTTCTACCTGGGCAGTTGTTGAAAAATCCCATTCTGGGGTCCAGATTCCCTCTTCCCTCTTTGCTAACGGCTCCAACTCCTGACTTGCACTGTTACAGCAAGACACCTGTAATCAAAACACTAATGTTACGCATTCCTTCTCCACTTTCTCTCACAGTTTTGCTTTGCACTTTATTTTTTCTGCAGAACTGTGTGTGTGTTTAGTGGCAAAAGAAAAAAAAAAACAAACCCACATTAAACCCAGTAGCTTGTTTCATGAGACTCCAGACATTCACCTACAGCCCCAATAGGAAGGCGATTTCATGTTTTCTTGCAGACAAGAGACAAGACCAACTAGAAACCAAGCAGAGGCACCCATGAGGGGGGTCTCACACTGGCTACATCAAGGGTAATGTGGTTCAAGTTCATTTAAGACCTTCATGATATTCACTCAGAACCAGCCAAGGATCCAAAGCTCTCTGGAAAGAATCTGAGCTAGGCAGTTCAGCGTCCTGTGCAAACCCCTCCTCTGCTTAGCAGGAAGAGGATTGCTGCTGATCCAAGCATCCTTCCTTAGACCGCTGCAGCTCCTGGTAGAGATGACAACTATTTTGTTAGGTGCTGTATGTTTGAGTGGAGAGCTGCTTTTATCAGATTTAATTTTCATCCTTCATTGTCAAGGCAAAGGTATGACTGTTGAAAAAAGAATGACCATGAAGCAGAGGTGCTTTGTGAATTTACATACAGAATTAGCAGAATGTTTTGAACTGCTAGCTTGCTCTGTGGCAGGCATTGACATGACAGAGCTGCCAGCACCTCAGGGTGGTAAGTAAGAGGAGTTTCCTTAAACTCTTATGTTCAGTCTATCTTTTAGTAAGTCTGTTTTTGAAGAAATCTACATCTCCCAAAACCTAATTTACACACAGAGCAACCTTGTATCCCTGCACCCTCATGATAAATGGCTAAACTGAAATACTGAATACTGTAAGGCCTTGTTCATTCAATTATTTTTTTCTCTAGGATTACCCTCCAGACCTCAGTGGTTACATACTCTTTCAGAAAAGCAATTTCTTAGCTGCTAAGAAGTCAGAGTGAGATCCAGAATCATGGCAAAGCACATCTGGTGTTTGTTTCTAAAAAGAGAGTTGCACAGGCATTTTTGCAGAACAAAAGAAAAGCTGCTTTACTTAAGAAGGAAAGTTGCTGTGCTGGTCTAATGCTTTTCCTAACACGTGTCAGAATAGGTTTCTGTGTATGTACATCACCTTTCCTACAGCCTGGATGGGTTACCACTTCAAAGCTTGTAGGGCCTGGAAATCTGAATAAATCACTCAGCTACACCTGACTCTACAACAGCTTGGAAATAGTGAGGAATGTTGACCAAACCCAATTTTAAGATTACCTTCAAATGTTAAGCTCTTGAGCTTGTACCTTCTTTGTGGTTCTGTCGTGACTAGGGGTCCTAAGTTCTACAGCAATACAAATAATAAATAAAAAATAATAATACATAATATATGATCAATAATACCTACTTTATACCCTGTTTTTCAAAGACACACTGCACCCCAGCATATACTTGAAAAATATGGTAACAAAGTTACCAAAAGTTGCAAGACAAATGCAATTTGTTTGATGCAAATATTTAACCTTAAGGTTCAAGTGGCTGGGAAACTCATTAATGGTATTGCTTCACCAGCCCCAAAACAAAGACAGACCAGAGAGATGTGACCGGTTCATGCACAGCCTTGGGAGTCTAGGAGAAACTGGGAGGAAACATTCATGTAGAAGCCGAGGCAGTGAATCCATGAACAGCTTCTCATCTCCACCATCTATTTTCATGCTAAAAGAGACTACATATGCCAAGAGAATTCCAGTGGGGTTTTTCTTGTGTTGGCCTTTTCTTTTGGAAAAAAAAATAAAAGGAAAGAGATAAGGTAGACAAATTGTAACGAAACATTTCATATATCCCTTATGGCTATCTCATTTTTCCCAAATGACTGCTGCATGAAATTAAAAAATTAAAGACCGGGATTTGAGAACAAAATTATAAATTAAAAAGGAGACATTTAAAAGAGAAATTCCTAAGCGTTTCATTCCTTCCCCACTCTGCAGCAAGGAGAGCAAAAATACAATCCAAAAGAGAGAAGAAGAAGTCAGAGGGGATTAGAAAGTCCAGTCTTTCAGCCTGTCTCCCATTTTGCTAATTTTTACAGTAGGTTATTTAAGAAGCGGTAGATGTTCCGATAGAAAGCAGGCAGCAGCAAACACAGGCATCGTCTCCTCCTTCCAGCGAGGTCTGTGCAATCTCAGTCTCTTGCTCTGGGAAGGACAGGTTTTCCTTCCCACACTTGTTACTGCCTTCCAGTGTGGGAGAGGGGAGAAGCATCTGCCAGAGATTGGGATCTGCTATTTCGGAGGCTCCCCTCCCTCCGCTGGGCTAAAAGGAACTCAAGTATTCCAGTGCAACCTCATATACAAATTTATACTGTTCCTAAAGAGAGAACAGAAATCAGTGGCATTAGGATACAGGTAAATTCTTCAGAGCCTCATTCTGCATCCTCCCTCTTTCTTACACCATTTGGCAGGACCAGGAAAACATTAATTGCATTTCTATGTATGTGATCTCAAACAAGCATCACTAAGAAATGGTATCATCAGTGGAAGAGAAAAACACTCCAAGTGACAGCCGCAGTCTGGACTATTCATTACTGGCGTCAAGCCCTCATCGCATGCATTGCTTTTGAGGAAAGAATTCCATGTGATCGATTGAGATGATTGAATTCAGGACAGTTTAATTTCTTCGGCTGCAGGGAGCAAGGCCTGGGATTCGGACTGTTCGCCATTCCTGGTTTCAAGGCATGTCACAGCACAAAGCATCGGGCTGCACACGTGCCCAGGAGGACAAACCCCACTCCTCCCCACAGCCCTGGTGATAACTACTTGGGGTTTAACCTCCTGGAGGCAGCTGGGAGGCAGTATTCATCACGCTGCCAGGACCCCTCTGCTCCAGGAGAGAAGCAGAGTGACCGGAAGATTCATTGCACGTCCTGAAATGCGACTGATGTGAAGTCTAATGGCTTCATGTTATGATTCGCTTTGATTGATACTGAGCTAAGCCATGAGATTTTTTAACCTGCCCTGAAGTCCCCCTGCGTATGCTGGGTGGGGTAAGGTGCAGGAAAAAAAGCTTACCAGTGACTCCACCATGTTGGACTTGTTATTCCGTAACGTTTTCACTATGTGGAACACATCGATGATATTCTGCTGTTGAATCATTTCACACACGCTGCAGATGGCACAGAAGGTCCCGCTGCGTCCCCCACCGTTCCTGGGTGCAGAAGAAAAGAGGCAAGAGGTGAAGCCAGGTAGGGCTGAGGGGTCGGAGGAGAGCACTGCTTATACCCCCCCACCCACACCAACGACGGTCTGTACCTACGGGCTGGCTAAGGACAGTCAAGGGGGCAGGGGGCAGGGTGGGAGGGCTGAGCCGAGCCCTGTCAGCCGTGGGCAGGGCAGCCCCAGGGGCTACAGTGCTGCCCCGCTCTGCGACGGGGCTGACAGCAGCTCTGTGCTCAGGGTGGGAATGTGGCAGAGCTACCTACTGCGTTTGTCTGGGCTCCAGTCGTGAGACCTACCTACACAACAGAAAGCAGCAGAGCTTTTCCAGCTACTCCTCACTGCAATCAGTAAAATCTCCAGGCCAGGATGCTATAATGTATCACAATATTCAACTTGAAGCGTATTAAAAAAGTAATTTAGCTTCATTTTCCCCAGCTGAAGCCTGGCACACCACCAAATTTCCAGATCCATAATGAGTGCTCTTCAGACAGCATTTTGTGAGGCTACAGGCATTTTCCAGTCCTACTTACAGGCAGTGGACGACAGTGCGCCTGTCTCTCCCATCGTACTGTTCCTGCCACTTCTCCAACCTTCTGAGCACCTTCAGGAGGGAGCGCTTGGACGGAGGGGTGTCCCTGTATGCTGGCCAGCCAATGTACTGCAGGTGCTGAACTATGCGATACCCATCCTGGGGCTAAAACAAAGGGCATTTTCAGGATGTTAAATGGAATGGGGCAGGAAGCAGAGAGAGAGAGGGTAAAGCAGGGGCAATGGTTACATGGCATCATCTCCTCTACATCTCCAACACCATCAGAGTTAACATCCTCCACTCTGGACAGCTGATACAGCAGGGACACAAGGACTTTTTGGTAATCTGGATAACAACAATCTCAGGTATTACAGAGCCAGGCAGAAACTAGGTGCAGAGGATCCCTTGTTTAGTTTCCATTAGAGAATATAGTCTCAAACAATACAAATAGTTCAAGTATGTCTTTCCTGCTAGCCTGTGCCAGACGTTAGTTGTGCCATAAGAACTAAAGGCAAAGAAGGCCCTCAAAAAAATCTCTGCGTACTGCACAGCAGCAGCCATTGGTGTTGAACACAGATGGGTGCAAAGAGCTGCGAGTTCACAGCATCCACCCTGCCAGCTCTGCATTTACAAACCAGCTTCATCCTGAGAGTCACAGAGCCTTAGTCTTATCAGCAATATGACTTCAAGGCTGTCCTGGGTTCAGAGTCAGCTGGCCTGGGATACAGAAGGTGAAGATCTAACTGATCTTCAGTTTGTGTAGCTGGATGACAAAGCTCCCTCTGCAATGCCAGGACTGAATTGCTGCATAGTCTCTGACCACATAATCAGACACGGGTGTGTTAAAGAGCATGGAAATGTACTTCGTGGAGCCTGTTTCCATTTCTGATTAGAAAGAATGAAAAAGGAACAAAAAAAGGAGACAATCAATCTGAGAAACAACTAATGAGAGAAAAATCCTCTACTGAAACCCTTTCCTTCAGCCCTGAAGTTGCATTGTCAGTGTCCAGTGTGCAGATAAACTTTGTTTCTATCATTTCAGCCATCCTGGGGCTGAGGAATACAGACAGAAAGTTGCTTACAGAAATGGCAGTTCCTTATTTATAGGAGAAACAGTGGCAATTGGGAATCCCAGTCTAGCCAGAAAACCTTGCATCTGTCTTCAGAGACACTGCACAGTAGCTGACAGATGGAGAGCTGCTGAGACTAGTTACTTCCTACAATACTGATGGTTTTATATTGGCTACTAGGTGATTAATTGTACTCAAATATACACAGAAAAATGCATTCCATTTAAATACACATTTTCAGCTCATAGCATCACCTTTCTACTTTCAGTCAAGAGTCTTTTACCAATACACAATGATGCAATTAAATGTTAGTTAAAGGAAGTAGTTACTAAATTCTGCAGTGGAATTTTGTTCCAAGGTGAGACATTCAGCATCTCTAAACCACCTCTTCCTCATGCCAAAATACATTTTTGACAATAAGCAAGGAATCTGGTGTTTCACTGATCTTACCCTGGCCATGTTGCAGATCCGGAATATCCGGTTGATGATATCTTCATCGATGTCTGCTGAAACAAACTCAACTTGAATCGGCCCGTAACAACAGGACGTCTTCTCTGGCCAGTACTGCATGCAGAGCTGGAGAAAACACCGAAAGAAACAGAAAGCACTGTAACACCAAAATGCATGTTTGGTTTTCTTTCCTTCTGAATTTGTAACAAGCTCGAAATCCATCACCAACCTTGTACTACATCTATTTGCTCAGAGAAGACCTCCTCATAGCTCAGCGATTTTGTTTTTACCAGGAATGTGATGAATGAGAGGGTAAAAAAAAAAAAATCTTTAGAAGCTTCACTGTTATTCCTTTTATTTTTCTTCTATGAACACAATTTGTAACTGATTGAATTCTGGGGTCTAAAGGTGCAGAAAAGGTGGCTGACAAATGAAGATTCCGTAGGGTTATAGATTTAAAATCAACATTAAAAGATGAGTGTCTGTAGGTAAATTTAGTAGGAACCACAGAGGTTTGGTGTTAATGAGGAAACAGTACACGCACCAAGAAAAAATCAATCTTAATTCAAGCATAGTGGAAATTCTTTTTTTCTGTAAGATGAACTTTTTAGCTCTCTGAGTCTACCAGCGAGCAGGGGAGGGAGAATGAGTATGCTCTGAGAGCAACAAGAGCAACTCCACTTTCAGGGTGAACCACAACTGAATCTCTGAAGTTTGTGAAGCAGGTTGGAAGTATTTTTTTCTTATGCTGATATTACTGAATTGAAAGTACAAAAAAATTTGAGAGTACAAAAATTCCTATCCACACAAATTACAACCTAAGTATTTCAAGTCCATCTGGAAATAGATCATGGCGAGAAAATATTTTGCATGTGATCTCATTAGCAGTTTCTGCTGAGATTGTATTTCTTTCTGATTTTTTTCTTCCTGTTTTCAAGTGTAATTTTTTAGAAGTTTTGAAACCCCCAGATGCTCATTTGAACTCGATCTCAAGCTTTTCAAGTTCAGTCGTTGCCAGTAATAACGTCAAGAGTGTGCATGCTACTGCATTAATTCTGTATTCCTGTTATTCCTTTGATCATACGGGATTGAAATTGGGTGAGATATTCGTACAATCTTATGCATCTTTGCCCTTGTTAGTTTTTCAAGATTAAGCAAGCCAGCCAAGACCACATAAGCAAGTCCTCCTTTGAAGGTTGTCCTTAGTCTTCATTCAGACTTCCAAGCAGCCTACAGATCTCCTCTCAAAGCATCTGTCCAATAGGCAAGGAGAATTGGGTTGAGCAGGTGCTTTAGAAAACAACCTCAAGGTGCATTAGAAAGAAGAAAAAGACAGAACCTTCCCTTAACATTAAAAATTTGCTTTTCATTAAGCATGTTTGTGAATGGCCATCCACTCAAATGTGTATAGAATCATAGAATCATAGAATGGTTTGGGTTGGAAGGGAACTTAAAGACCATCCAGTTCCAACCCCCCTGCCATGGGCAGGGACACCTTCTACTAGACCAGGTTGCTCCAAGCCTCATCCAGCCTGGCCTTGGACACTTCCAGGGATGGCGCATCCACAGCTTCTCCGAGCAAGTGCCTCACCACCCTCTCTGGGAAGAATTTCTTCCTGATATCTAATCTAAACCTCCCCACTTTCAATTTAAACCCGTTACCCCTTGTCCTGTCACTACAGGCCCTTGTAAAAAGTCCTCTCCCAGCACCCCTGTAGCCCCCTTCAGGTACTGGAAGGTGCAATGAGGTCTCCTCGGAGCCTTCTCTTCTCCAGGCTGAACAAGCCCAGTTCTTGCAGCCTTTCATCACAGCAGAGGTGCTCCAGCCCTCTGAGCATCTCCGTGGCCTCCTCTGGACTCGCTCCAAGTGGTCAATATCCTTCTGATGCTGGGGGCTCCACAGCTGGACGCACCACTCCAGGTGGGGTCTCACCAGAGCAGAGTAGAGGGGCAGAATCCCCTCCCTCACCCTGCTGGCCACACTGCTCTGGATATGTATATATGGTGCCTAAAACTGTGTTATGTTCTCTGACCTTCACGTGGCTTCACTTGCACTTTTTCCTTGCATAGTGGATTAAAGATTCACTTACCTATTTATTTGAATTTTTTCCTCTCTACAGTTCAGGCGCAGCTGTGTATAACCGAGTTTTGTGTTCTGCTGATGGAGACAGGTAACACACCCTGCCCATGGGCACAAATAGGGTAGCTGCAGGCAACCGTACACTGACAGTTTCGTAGTGCTCAGGGTACAGCGTGTCACTGCTGAGTTTCCTTTTCAGAAACCTCACTTTCACAACTGATATCAAACTGTCACACCTTGCGTTGAAAGCTCCTAAGATACAAGCTTTAATATCATCCTCAACTTCCGGTGCTTGCTGGGTGGTTTTGGCACTGGCTGCTGATGCGAGCTGAGGGACACCATACTGGAATAACTGACAGAATGACTTTCTGTATTGCCAAATCTCCTTTTCTGTGCCTACAGACTACCTCTTAAAAACAGAACTTAAAAATCAAAGCAAGTAAAGCCTTGTGCAGGAAGAGAGTCGCAAGAACAGTCCTGGCTGAGGCTGATAGGTTTGTCTTTTCTAAGAATGAAGCATGAGAAAGTGTGTAATTTCCAGGAAAAAGCTGTGTTTTTCTTCAAAGTGTCAGAAAAGGAGAAGATTAAATCCACCTCTGGATTTGATGCCAAGGTGCAGAATCAGGCTGGGTGGATGGGACCGGAGGCAGCTAATGCACAGGACCTCCAGGGCTTTGCACAGCGTTGGACTCTGCGGATCACCGGGAGAGCCCACTGCAGAGCAGAGCTGCCCTGCGGCTGGAAATGAAACCTCCCAGGGCACTCCCTGAAGGGAGATCCCCACCACAGATGGGGTGAGTGCCTTCTCCATTACCATCACAAAAAGAGCCCAATAATCTCACTGCCTTCAAGTGTGGTAAGACTTTGAAGACAGAGAAGGGACAAATGAAAAATTAATCCATGAAGTGCCAACTACTTGAGGGTTCCTCTCCTCTTGTTTAACAAGTGCTGTAACGGGTGAATTAGCCATGCCAAATGTACTCTTCACACAAATTGCATGATTACGCCTTTTTGAAAGCTGTTATCTTCTGCCACTCATCAGCAAGGTGGCTGGAAATGCTAGTACACCAGGAACTGCAGCAGCTCCTCCCCCAGCAAACTCGACCCCTGAAAATCACCGTGTGTTTAGTAGCCAAGAAACCAACTGGCACGTGACACTAGGAAGCAAAAAACCAGTGTGCGGCTCAATGTGCTTCTCCAGGAACTGTGCAAAACGCACTTCCCAGTCCTACAGACGTGCACTGGAAATCTCAGGGAAAAGATCCCTTGAGTGATTTCAGTATCTCTCTTGGATTTATTCTTCTGGAAATGCCATGTGAACAGGCAGAAACTAGAAAGGGAAGAAAGCAGGTTTGGGAGGAAGATTTAGGTCTGCAAACACAACCTATTTAGATAGCTAATCCCTGTTAATTGCAGGAAGAATCAGCTCCCTTAGAAGGAGCCAAGCATGTGGAGTTATCCTACATCATACCCCAAATATTACCTATTACTTGTCAGTTCCCCTTCATTTAACTGGGGGGGGGGCAAGAAAATGGCAGCAGAAATGCTCTTAAAACTGCCTGGATTTCAGAAGAAAGTTACATGGCAGAAATGACGAAAAATCACGTACCTGCGCTGCATCCATCTCATTCAGCATCACAACAGAGGAGCAGTTATAGTCAAACACCAGCCTCCAGAAGTCTGCTATGGTGTTGGGCAAAGGGTGTTGGGTTACAATAAAGGCAGCAGGTTGCTTGTGGCTCTAACAAAAGAATAAGATTAGTTAAATAAAAAAAAAATTCAATCAACTTTTATTCAAACGAATATTATACCCGGGAGGCTGTGGCGAGGCAATCTGAGCCATTTAACCAGATTATACAAATCACATATCCTTCTCCTTGTTATCGCTGTGCAATGAATGAATGTCTCATAATGGGATTCTTTTGCTCCCAATGAAGACATTTCATTAAAGAAGTGTCACAAGAGCAGAGATTACCCAAATCAATTATTTATATTTTGAGACTCAGCAAATAATACTAATTCTACTATTACTACTACTACTATCAGTAATATTAATAATTGGAAAGAAAACAGCTGGGAGCAAATGCTATCCTTTTTGCTGCAAGAGGTACTAGGAACTACAGAAGGGATTAGCCCCCCTGTCTGCTATTGCTCCCTGGTGATGTAGAGCTGCAGAGGTGGCACATTTGGATCCCAGCCATCCTGCAAGAGCTTGTGGGGCAATATCAAGAGCCTGTGACACTGGCATGGAATTTTTGATACGACTCTTTCCCCTCAAGAAAGCCCTCTGACCTCAATCTGCCTACCCACGAAGGGGAGGAACTGTGCTCCTAACCTCTGCGGGGCTGTGTTAATGAATGTTGGCAGGGCACTTTGAGATGAAAGGCTACAAGCTCAAAACTTTACCGCTTTCCAAGCACAGCAGGCAATGCTTAGATGAGCCTACGAACTGCACGGTCCTTTGTGCTGTACATCTGTGAAGCAGGCCTGAATCAAAAGGCACTGTATTTCTGGGCAAAAAAAACCCTAACAGATTAAGATTTTGGGTTTAAAGTAAGGAAATAAATAAACCCCTAAAGTATTAAGATGGCCATCGTAGGGGCTTGCCTTTTCTTCTGCACACGAGTCAGATGTGGGTGGAAGTGCTGAGCAGACCGTGCTGGGGAAGGGGGGGGAAGGTGCTGGGCACGCTCTGCACCAGCTCGCAGGATGGCTGTGCCATGCTACTGAGAGTGCACGTGGGAGGAGGGTGATGGGACATGAGGTAGAGAGAAGGAAAAGCAAATTATTTATTGGGAAATGATCCATCTGGAATTGATTTTCCTCTTTGATTTCCCTACTCTCTATTTCAAACCTAGGAGCACCAGTATGGCTCAAAAGCTATGTTGTACAAGACCAACAGAAGCAACAGAGTGGTACATAAACCCGTGAATCTTATCTCTTAAACAGCCTTAAAAACATGAGCGTGTTTCTGCTACATTTTTTCATTGTGCTCCAGTATAGCAGACTGCATAACTGGCTAAACTGCTGGCTGATGTGTTTTTGGGTGTTGCCTGCAAGGAGAAAAAAGAAACATGCCCACCTGTTTTCATTGCTACAGGTGTGCCTGTTTTCATTTCTTGTCCTAGCTTCAAGGGAAGGTGACACAGAGATGTCAACTACTGATGTAAGAGAACACGTGTAGGACCTTGGGACAATGAGGACGACAGGGACACAACATGGAGCCTGCCAGATTGGCTTCCTGGGACAATTCGTAATTCCAAAGCCAGGTTGTAACCCACTCTAGGTTACATCCCTTCCTGCTCTAGCACTTCCTTCGGCACAGCTTTCATGCCATACACAGAGCAAGCTGCAAGTCACGTAAGGTTTGGGGAGAAGTTTAGAAAACCAAAACAAAACACGAGAAATTTGTAAAACAGAGGTAAATAAAATGATCAGCACTGTGTCATAAGTGTTCCCCAGCATGTGCCTGTCTTCACCCAAAGAATCGATGATAGTTCAAGGCAGTATGGGATGGGTGATCTCTCTGAGAGTCCATTCTCGGCACTAGGCTGCAGCCATGAAGCTACTGGAAAAGGCAAAGAATTTGCAAGCTCTGTCCTCCACAAGAACGTCTATGAAAATGTGGGATTATGGCTGCTCCCTTCTCTGATTTGTTTACAAAAGCTGCTGATTCCTCTGTGAAGGATAAAAGAGAGTAGGGAACATCATAGTGGCTGAATTCCGCTGACAGGTGAAAAATTCCTTCGTAAAAAAATTTTAATTAGCAGGAATTTGGTGGGGAAGGATACAAGTATTAGCAAAGTGATTTGAGGTAATGAAATGTGCAAACATTCCCAGTCCCTAAGAAACCAGAGAAGAACTGATTGTGTTTCTGCAGATTTGCCAAAGCACAAACCACACTTTATCAGAAAAAAAAGTTTCCTTAGGCATATTTGCAATGAAAACATCATACTCTTTCTGAAAAAAAATCTGAAATTAATTCTATGACCATTTGACTTAACCTCTTAAATGCAGTAGTATCACTGTTCCCCAAAGACTGAAAAAAACAGACAAAATTAAAAAAGACCAACCCCAAAATTGCTCTGGAAAAAATGATGACATTTCACCCTGGATCATATGTACACATACTCCAACTGCAATAATTAGTGCCTTTAAAACATTTCTGTCCAAAGGCAGTTAGGCACCACAGCAAAAAGAAACCATCAACATAATTCACTCTCTACAACTGACCTGTGCTGTGAGATTCTAGCCTATAAACAAAGCACGGGGAAATGCCTTCAGACAGACTCACATCAGCTTAACTCCTGCCCTTCAGCCTTAAAGCATTTTGCACATCCGATCCCTGTACTCCTGTATTCTGAACTCCATAAGCTCAAATAAATCACTCGCTGCGCACTACAAACCTGACTCCAAACTCAAAGACCTGACCTGGCAGCTCCTGGCAAACACTTATCTTCCAGCTTATACGACAGCCAACATTGTCCCACTACTTCTCTGTCCATCTGCTTTTCTACAGTACAACCCCAGACCACAGGCTCATCAACTTCTTTGTCAAAAATATTCCACCGAAGTGAGGCAGAACTACAAGGGTAGCGAGATCATCACAGTCTAGGTGACACATTTCTGTGTGCCTTTGCCCAGATTGGAGATGTCAGCCCCAGAACCTGGAGATAACCTTTTTTTACTTTGGATAAACTCGATGCCGACTAGGATCAGTGGGGACAGGGCAGTGCTGCTTACATCCATGAGTGCAGCATTGATGTAGTTACTTGATTCGCCATCCACGGAGATGAGGAAAGGCAGGCACCGGTCCAAGGGCAGCACATCCATGCAGCGGTTCTTGTCATGGTTCCTTGGCAAAAGGCCGATGCTGCAATCTTCCGGCCGCACACGTGGTGTCACAATATTGAGAGTCTGTGAAGGGGGAGAGAGGAAGGGAAAGAAAGACAGAAGCAGGTTGAGTGTCTTTGAATTTACTTCCAGGAAGGATGCCATCTGCACAATACGTTTATTTTAAAGGTACGTAGGCTAGCAGATCTTTGGGATATCAGAGAATGAAAAAGAAGCAGCACCACGGAGCTTGTTGCTGTTGTAACACATTGCATTTTGCACATCTTCCTAAGGTGCTCTTCTGCAAACTGTGAGCACCAGCAAAAATTAAGGGCACTATACACCTTCCAACAATTTCCACCTCTAAAATGTCACAGCAGTTAGCTAACACTCCTGTTCTTTCCTAGAGGTTGGAAATAGCTGTCACAGGTACAAGTTGCAGCTTTCACCTGGTCATGGAGTGAAACTTCCTCGTGTTTCTACCATCCCTGGGGTGGAAGCACGCATCCTCCTCCCTCTTCACGCGGATCTTGTGCTGAAGTACCCTGAGTACTGACCTGGTTCACCGAGCAGTCCGACTGGGTCCAAATCCTCCAGTGATCCCTCAGCCAAAGTACTGATTTATCTTAGCAATGCATACAAAAACATAAGAGCAAATGTTTCGGCGTGTGTTTGTTTTGTGTGGGGTTTTGGTTTTGGGATTTGGTTTATTTATTTTTTTAACAGGAAGGTATTTGTTTCATATATTATTTAGATTGCTACTTTTCTTTTGGAGTGACACATAGGATGCTTCACTGACACAGTCATATCTTATCTCTGGGGTCTTGCTGTCAGCCTTTTTACCATTATCTGTCTTTCCCACAGCTTGACAAGCTGCATTTCTTTAAATCTAATTTTCTTTTGTGCTATCCATTGTGAAGGCCTCCTGACAAACCAGCCCAGGTTAGTCAGCAGGGATCAAAAATAGCAAATCCAAGTGAACACATCTTAACATGGTCACTTCAGTCATGGTAGATCAGTGGCTATCTGAGGTCATTCTACTTTCACTTGTGTGTGTCCTCTTCCTGAGCAAAGCCCATACAGTGCACTCCCTGGCAGCTATCAGAGGAACACAAAATATTTAGAGGCCAGAAGTTCTTACAAAGAGCTTGACTTCTGACACAGAGAGGTTATGAATAGAGAAGAGGGTCAAACAAGCCAAGATAAAGGAATATGTCAAAGTATAAAATTTAAAATAATATAGTTGCTCTAGATTATGCAGGTTCTACATAAAAGTCCATTTGTCTAGAGATGGAAAGTACGTGGTCTGGCTGGGGAAGCAACGTGAAATCTCAGATTTCTGACAGTGCAGATAATTAGGCAGGTGACCCGTTAGTGATTTCTCCTGCCTATTTTATGCCCTTCCCCTCTCTCCCTTGTTTTTGTACATACTCAGATTACAAAAACTCTCCAGAATGAGCTTTTGCATGTTGAGACAACATGCAGTGCATGAGAAATACATCCAGCCTTACCTGAGGGCCAGTGGGACCTAAATAACACAAATTACACAAAGATCTATAGTTTGATCAACTGATCCATAAAGATTGTAGCAAAAGACACCATCTTTTGCATTAAATCCAGACAATTAGGGCTGAAGAATGCTTTGAGCCAAAATCCTGTAAAGATAGATTCTACAGCTAGACAGAGAACGAACTTCTTATGCAAAGCACAGCGGAGCATTTCCTTCTCACAGGAGTTGCCAGCCCCTGGCAGCTCAAAAGAACAAGCACACAGGCGACAAATCTCGTCTCGTATCATGACAAAATAAGCCCATCAAGCGGTGACTTTTTTTTTAATCGCATAGCAGCATTTGATGAAGTTACGCTTTGGCTCCTTCATACCAAGCATCCAGAATCAGAAACACTTTTACAGATCTGATATCACTTGATAAAACCAGATCTTCTTTTAATTGAACTGTCATCAGCTGGGACCCACATTCTTTATCTCACTATACCAACCCTGATGATTCCCTGTAAGGTTTCAGATAGAAAACACACATTCTCCCTTTGCATACAGAGGGAGGAAAAGAGGCATCTGGGGCTCCCAAAAGACATTTTCTTGCTGCAAAAGATACTTTTCCAGGAAAGGGGGCGAGCATTTCCCACATTTCCCATTTCTCCACCTTTTTACTGCTGACTAAGAATGGCTTCTTAACAAATCGCAGAGATTTCTTTCTCTCCCCCATCAAACTCCCCTTGCCCCAGATTTGTCACAGCATTATGGCACAATCTTTTCCATACTTCAGTGTTGGCTGAAAATCCTAAAAGGATTTACAGATACATGGGAAGTAAGACTGGAAAACTTAGTTCAGTGTTCTGCAGGGTGAGTTCGTTCTCTGCTGTGCGAGAGGTACAGGGCTCATGGCTCGTGTGTCCCAAGCCCATTTATTAGGGTGGGCTAAGCAATGGTGATAGCACAAGGCGGAGGGGTCCCCTTCTCATTGCCTGCCCCAGGCAAACCGTGCTACGCCAGCACTTGTGAGTTTTACTGTATGGCATTTCACTTCTCATCACCAGGTACTTGGCAAAACATCTGTAGTGAACTGCGGGATTCGGTTCATTGAAAATCAGTAAGAGCAGAAGTAATGCTCGCTGAGCTCACTTTCTCCTTTCTACGGGAGGATGTCAGCAAGTTGATTGTCAAGAGTCAGGAGCAGCATATGAGCCACAAGAACAGATAATAAGGGACCTTGAGGCATAAATGTTTCTGCATAAATTACAGAAGAAAATGAACAACAGAATATTTGTTGAAATGACTAGTACAACATTACGTGTGAAAATTAATAACCTTGCTCTATTGAAATGACGAGGAAACTTTTTCCTTGATGAAGGCTGAAAAATCCAGACTCAAAACAAAATCTCTGCCTGATCCAGTAGTAAAACAACAAATATCAGATGAAATCAGACCTTGGCTCAGTGTCCCCCTTCTTTACTCTGTTGGAAATCATAAAATAACACACAGAAATTGATTAAACACCTTCAACTCACCAACTGCAAAGACTGAGACATATGAAATTACCTGAAACTCATCTTTTATCTGGCTGGAATTGGTCTGTGGATCTAGTCTGCTGATGTTGTAATATATGGATCTGAACTCACAAACTGGAATGGCCGTGTTGCCACAGAGACATGCTTCCAAAATGGCATCATGGACAAATACATACTGCTCCTGCACAGAGGGGGGGGATATGATATTAAAATCATATTTTCAATACAGATCATGAAATATCACACTTTTTTTTTTCTTAAGTCATGCCTGATATGCATATTTGGCTCTGTTCCCTGTGGAGACAAATTACACAGTGTGCTATGTGACAGCTTTGTGAGCGTACTTCATCCATCATGGAATGCGAGGTCTCACGTATTCTTTTCAAATTTACAAGTAAAATGGAAGTCACCACCCTCAGGAATGCTGGGAAAAAATGGGGGTGGTTTGAGGAGGCAATCGGGGTGTAAATCTTTCCTGTTCACAATCACAACACAATGGTCAGGGATGGATTGTGCTTTGGACCTAAGATAACACCAGAGAAACATCTGTGCTAACAGTTCTGCTTCATTTGTCTCTTCAAAACCCCTGGACTCTTCATATTCTGGGTAAAGTTCTTCCCCTGAATTAAATATGAGAAGTCCAGCAAAGTTAAAAGCCCTTCTCTGCCCCAGGCTGTTGTCCTGCCCTCAGGAGGGGAAGGAACTGAAGCACATACATAAAACTTGTGCAGCAGCATAACAGTTCTATCGAAGTTTGTGCAGCTCCTAGGTGCTACGTGATGGAGCAGCTTGCTTAATCAGCACCCAAACCTTGAATCAAGGATGTTTCATTTGTCTAGCTTGCTATTGATATAAACTAGGCAGTACTGGAGTCTGCAGTATACCTATGAATGAGTCATGAGAGGACTCAGGGGCTAGCTTTTTTCTACTGTGAGAATAAAATTAATCAGCAATGCTAAGACCTAAACTTCAAGGTTTGCCCTCCTGTCTTGGAGGCCCTGAGTAGCTGCCAGTGAATGTGATTCGGTGCACATCTGGACATGTTTAGCAACCGAAAGTTCTGTATAATCATATCACAGAGCAAGCAAGCGTTGACTTAATGAATTGCTGGGCTCCTGTTGAGCAGAGACGCTGACAGGGAAGCAGTACATCGCAAGAGGAGACCTGCTGGCACCTACCTCCGTCTGCACCAAATTGACCCGTTGGGATCGCAGCTCTCGCACACAGTTAAATATATCCACCACGCCTTCGTTCTCTGCCATGTCAAGCATGATGTCGATGGCAATAAAGCACCCTGTTCTCCCAGCCCCAGCACTAAAAAGAAAGAAAAAGCCATGAGGGTCTTCATGATGAAGAGACCATGGAGAGTTAGGGCTCTGTGGAGGAGAAAATCACTGCATCACAGTCGCAGCTGTCTTCTCTTGGAAGCTGCTCCCCTCTCCCTGTTGGGTTGATTTTTGTGTGTAGCTAAATTAGCTTAGGATTTAAGAGAATGAGGAGAAATATTTCTTGAAAGGGAAATGGAGTGGGGCAGCAGGAAAAAAAGCTTTGTACTCTTGAACATAAAAAAAAAAAAATTACTGAAATAATAACGATTTTTACAGGTTGGTTCACCTGCACACCTCTCCTCACACAGGATGTGGGAGAGCAGCCTCCAGGTTGCAGATGGACACAATTCCACAGATTTTCCTCATGGGACTCTTGAAAACGCATGCACATGTTTACTCAAGTGGGCATGATGGAAGGGGCTCAGTCCTCCACTTCTAACATTTCTTCTCCCTTTTTAATCTGGAGGATTTTGGGTCCCGAGGAGGGTGATTTCAAGTTGTGGATTGTAAAATTATAGAGAAAGGAGCTCGAGGCTAGTCAAAACCTTCAGTTTAGAGCCCCCCGCTGTTTGCAAGAATTGGACCTGCAGAACCGTGTTGTCATTGTGTCCTCCTTCCCTCCTGGGAAATCATCCAAGCTGTTTAGGTGTGAAGGATAGAGAGAGGAGAACGTCTCTTCACATTACTCAGAAGGAAGAAGGAAAACTCAGCTCAAATCAGGGAAACTTCAGCTGCATGAAAACTCCAGCAGAGCCGAAAGCAAGTAGATATGAATGACCATAAATTAATGGACCAGATTAATCAACTGCTGAATAGAGAGAAGATATTTTTCATTTGCAGAATTTTAATGAATAAGTGGCATTTCCTCTCCCTTTATCTCTCAGCTTTTCAGAATTTTAACAAATAGTTATAACATTTCTATATTTAGAGGATCCTGGCACTTCATAAATATCGAACAGTGATATTATCCAGCCAGGCATCGGTAAGGAGAATTTGGTAATTACCACTTAAAGCAAGTCATTAAAATTCAAAAGCAGATAAATAACAGAGAGGAAATGGCATTTATTCATTAGCATGTGAAAGATGAAAAATCTCTCCTTGCTTTCTTGGTGACAATGAATCAGGTTCAGGCTCCTTCCAGGGCCAGACCCATGTCATGGCACCAAGGTAGCAAATTCAGGCCCTGAGCTCTGAATGAATTCCCTTGTGCTGGCTCCTCAGGCTTAGTGGTGGCTATTTTATTATAAAACTGATTTATTGCTTGCTAAAATACCCAACAAAACAAAACACCACTTCCCAACTCCCCAAAAAACCCAAAAGTGTTTTAAAAGGTAAGATTTAATTGATTTTCCTTTTTAAAGTGGTTGTGGACTTATTCTCTCCCTTCCTGATCACACAGCATGGCACTTAGAGGGAACTGCCTGTGGATGGATCAGGGGTGAGATTTTGGGATGGCCAGCTCTGGTCTCAAGCCTTGTGCTCCAGCCCTGTCTCCTCTACAGCACACGTGCCCTGAGCTGTGCCCTGAGCACTGCAGAAGTAGCTGCTACAAACCCAAACTCTTGCTTTTGTAGCAATGTCTTTCTTGCATTTGAAGCCATGTAACCGATGGCAGGCTGTGTGTGTGTGCCTGCCCTGCACCACCCTCTGCAAGCCTGCTCACACCTCAGCCGGTGGGTGAGCTCTTCGTGCCAGGGACAGCCGTATTCACGGGGTGCCTTGCACAGCAGGGCCGTAAGCTCAGCTGGGAGAAAGAAGAGCTCTCACCAGGAACAGCAGCAGCCTGTTAGCAAGTACATCATTCAACAGTCTGAATTTTCACAGCTGTAAACCAAGCAGCCAGGTTTCCTCAGGCATTCCCCTTTTATTCACTAGCTGGAAGGCACTGGGCAGGTTTTCAGTCTGACATTCCCATTCCAGCTCGTGGGCTTTGAGGAGGCTAAGATGCACAATGGCTGGCATTCAGGCCCAGGAAGACAGCCCAAAGTTCCAGATAAGCATATTGATGCTGGTACAAAGCTGAACTGCAGTGCATGTGGGTACAGAAAAGCAAAGTTGCTTTAAAATTCCCTGTTGTAGGCATTGTCCCTTCTGCCACATGAGGTTTATTGTAGATAAGGACTACAATGGCCGTCCCAGATATTTACCATTTTTCAACTCTGCTGTGAGCCTCTAAGAGAGTATAGGCCACCAGAGAGTCTTCTACATTCCAATGGCCCTCTCTGACCTACTTAGATCATCTCCAATTCATGCCAGCTAAGCTTGAGAGAGCTGCCACTTTAGAAAAGAAAACCAAATTCCACTTTGTTTCCTGGTGAGGCTCACAAATTATACCCTTAAAGAAACAAAACACATTTGATTATTGCCAGATGAGAAGAAAAAAGGAGAAAAGCTGAACAAGTGGACGGAGGAAGGGCTCAGACAAAGAGCTCACGTACCTGCAGTGCACCACAATGGGTCCTGCTTCTGGGGGATTGAGAAACTTCACTTGACGAACGAAGCCCAGGAGGCCGGTGGCATAGCAAGGAACGCCGTGGTCCGGCCAGCTGGTGAAGTGGAACTGCCGAATCTCTCGGATCTCATGGTAGCCTTTCTGAGGAGACAACACAGCCTTTATTTTTCTTCCATCAGACTGCAGTCAGCATATTCGGAGCACCGCTCCTCCCTCACGCAGAGGGCTGAACTCAGCTCTCATGACATGTGGGAACGTGTCCTGCGTCACGTCTGAGCTCCAAGTACAAATGAAGTGGGTAACACACAGCTGAGGACTAGGAAGGTGAGTGCCAGCTCCCAATTCAATTAGAGCTCAAACCCAGTTGATGAGGAACCTTACAGGGTGGCTTCAGCCCCAGCGTGCCATGGCTGCGCTTAGCCAGCCTCCTTTGTGGCACTTCCATAAACCCTCAAGTCACCCTTAAATCCTTTTTGAGGCGTTGAAGTAACAGCCTGGGGAATGAACCCCTACAGAGTGGGCATGGCCCAGGCAACACCTCCTGCCACCTCCTGCCAAAAAATCTCCCTTTGAGATTACAGCTGGTGGTGCAAAGGGCAGAAACTGGTACCCAGATCCATCATTCAGCCTCTCTGGTGAGACCAAGTTACTGGTACAGGGAAGCTGACACCACTTGTATACGCCCTGCAGAGGGTAACAGGAAGTGTCTGTTATCCATGACATCTTACTGTATGGGAAATCCAGCAGCAGGTCCTCCAACCTGTCAGATTCTGGCATCAGCATTTCTTACCAAGATTCTCAGTGATTTAATGAAACATGGAGCTGATGTATTAGAAAACTGGAACAATATTCCCAGTGTACCTAAAGTTCATTTAGCAGGAATTTTTGAAAAGCTTTAAAATCATGTACTAGGTGCTTGGAGAGTAATTTGGACAGACCTGGAATACTCTGACACTTAGACTTCCAATTTCTAATTA